CAAGCAGAGCATTAAATTCTAAGGACCCCTCTTGACATCCTTCAGGGTGACTAGGGCTGGGTTAACCTGTTCTGTGGGTTTGTGGCTCCTGGGTGTGCCGGGCCTCACAAAGGTTGAAGCAGTTAGAATCACAGAATCATCATTTACAAGTTTAAACAGTCTCAGGGCTGTTGAGAATTTCAAAATTAATCAACTGTGCCCCCTTGGGAGACAGGCAGGCAGAGTGATATGTATACAGAGCTTTCAAAAGGGATTAATCATGGCTTTGGGAATTGCCCATGTGGTGGGAGGGGCTATGGGGACATTTACATGTGGTGTTATCCAGCACGCACACAGCACCCTGTTCATTGCTAAGTGTTTTACATCATGAGAGAGTTTCCCAGCAGAGAAAGGTAGGTTTGTCCACATTTTGAGGGTGGAGAAGTGATGGATCCAGAAATCTTAAATGACTCTCTGAGGGGTAGACAGCAGGAAGTGAGCTGAGATTTAGGGTTCATGTCTGTGCCCTGTCTGGGTGCCAATCTTTTTCTATTAGGGCTGCCTCAGACATGTGCAGCAGGCTGTCTCAGACATGTGCAGCAGGCTGCCTCAGACATGTGCAGCAGGCTGCCTCCTTCTAGGGGTATATTTTAAAAATTCATATCAAAGTTTTCTCTGGGTTTTTCCTTTTAGAAACACCCAAGGTTCTCTCCTGTAGACTATTTTTATCCATGCCCTAACTCAAGAAGCCAGATTCATTGTTGTGCATCTGCAATAGTCTCTGGGCTTCAAATGGGGGTTATTCCTTGGAAAAGTCACTACATTGCGCACATGCCCTCCACTGAGGTTTAGCTCACCTCCATCCTAGGCGTCCTCCTCCATCCCACCTCAGCCCACTGCTGCCCACCCTTCCCATCCCTTGTGCACGCTGAGCTCCAGCCCTTGAATCATGCGCTGTGTTCCCATTTGCCACGTGTACCTCCTGTGGTTCCAGGGCTGGAACACCTTCCTGCACCCTTCTCTGCCAGTCCATCCTACACTGGAGTGTACCAGTCACAGAGTGCTCACTTGGTGTTAGGTTGCTGTTTAAGACTATGAATGTTAACTCGCTTAATCCTCACCAGAACCTAATGATGTAGGTACCATTACTATTCTCCCATTTTACAGATGAAGAAACAAAGGCACAGAAACTTGTTCAAGATTCCAGAGCTGGGCCGAAACCAGTTTGGCTCAGTGGATAGAGCGTCGGCCTGCGGACTGAAAGGTCCCAGGTTCGATTCCGGTCAAGGGCATGTACCTGGGTTGCGGGCACATCCCCTGTAGGAGATGTGCAGGAGGCAGCTGATCGATGTCTCTCTCATCGATGTTTCTAACTCTCTATCTCTCTCCCTTCCTCTCTCTGTAAAAAATCAATAAAATATATTTAAAAAAAAAAAAAAGATTCCAGAGCTGGCAGGTGCTGCAAGCAGAGCCCACCCTCTTAAACCACCCTGCTTGGCTTCTCTTCTACACATCCTTTTACTCTGACCTGTGAAATCACTCCTGATACGTATTTTGGGAATTGCCCTCCTGCTCTGTGTACCCACAGCCCTTTGCTGGTCCATTTAGGATTCCTGTTGTCTTTGAGTGAGGCTTTTATTAGCCTTCGTCCCCTACCAGTGGGGAGCTTTGTAAGGACTGGGATTTGGTGCGTCCACAGCATTCTCACTTCCAGATTCTTTCCTGGTGATTTGAAGCATTTGTGGGCTAAAATGAACTTAAACTTAATTAGAAGGTCCCATAATGAATAAACTCTTAAAGACAGTCTTGGTAAGATGCTCCATAAAAGATTTAACTTAAGCTTCCAAATGTAGATACTTCTCCTCCATTCAAGGGCTGGTTGTTTGAGGTTTTTTCAACCTCCTGCTTTTCCTTCCATTTCTTCTGAACTTTCAGACATTTCATAATTTGAGAGAATCACCATGAGCAGATAGAGGATGAGGAAAAGCATGTTGAGGTCATAGCAGTTCTGTCTCTTACCAGTTCAGTGACTTTAAGTCACTTGAGCTTCTGGAATCTGTTTCCTCAGCCATAAAGTGGGATCATTATCCTACTTAGTGACCTGGCACTGCATGTAAAGCAGCTGATCCAGGGCTTGGTTAATAATAAAAGCTGCATAATTTTCTTTTTCCTTCAGTCTTCAGTTCCTTCTTAAATAAATAGAAATTGGAAAAAATATCTGAAGCTGTGCAATGTCCTGAAAGAAACAATTGCATAAATTTGCCCTGACAGGTTTGGCTCAGTGGATAGAGTATCAGCCTGCGGACTGAAGGGTCTCAGGTTTGATTCCAGTCAAGGGCACTGCCTGGGTTGCGGGCTCGATCCCCAGTAGGGGGTGTGCAGGAGGCAACCAATCAATGATTCTCTCTCATCATTGATGTTTCTATCTCTCTCTCCCTCTCCCTTCCTCTCTGAAATCAATAAAAATATTTAGAAAAAAAGAAACAATTGCATAAATTCAACTAAACCCATATTTACCATTTGATGCAAAATTATGAAGTACCTACTATGTGCCAAGCACTGAGCTAGCTTTGGAGTTACAAAGCCACCTAAGACACAGTGTGTCCTCAAGGAGCTCCCAGTCTGGTGGGGGGAACAGACCTGTAAGTAAATAACTCAAAATCAGAGCCAATTCCAAGGATTTGCTTTTCTATTAGAGAATTTATAGGGCTGTGGAAGAGGGATGGCTTAAAGAAAAGCTTTGTGGGGAGGTAAAATCTAAGCTGGGCCTTAAAGAGGGATATGTTAGACAGAGTTCTTAGCTGCAAGCAACAGAAAGCTTCTTTAGCTAGCTTAACCAAAAAAAGAGCAAGGTATAATAAGGAGATCAGGAGATCATGGAATTTACAGGAGGCTGAATGACCAAGTGAGCAGAATCAAGGGAGCCATGGATGAAGAATACAAACCCCACATGGAAAAAAAATGGGCTGGTTTGGCCTTGTTGCTACTGAGAATGTCCTTTTATTACCTGTCAAAGTCCCAGGACAGAATGTATAACAAACTGAGCAAAGTCACATGTTCAGCCACTGTCCAAGTCAGGGTGAGGAATTGAAGGCTAGTAGCTTTGGCTTCTTTAGCAAGAGTTGGTCATTCCTTTCCAACGCTAAAAAACACACCACTAAGTTATTGTACTACCAGCAAAAATTAATTTATTCAGGAATAGCAAAGAATTGCAATTCAGGATATTCAAGTTATGACAAAACCATAGGCAAGTTTGGAGAAAGAGAAGAACTTTTTTTTTAAATAGAGGAAGGGGGAAGTTAGGAGGAATTAATACAGAGTCCATGGGAAGAAACTGGAAGTTTGAAGTGTAGTGACTTTTCATTGGCTGAGTTGTGACAGTCTCTCATTGGCTGAGCTGTTGCCAGATCAGGAGAAAAGCTTCCATTCTCCTGCTGTGGTAGTAAAGTAGAAAACATCTTCTTGTAGGAGATGCAAGGTACCGCTCTTCCTGTTTGGGGTAACTAACGAGTAGTAGAGTGTGAGAGCCCCCCCTACAAATCCTCTTGACTCCAATTGTAGTTGAGGCTTCCTTTATTCATTTTCACGCCATCAAGACCGCAGACATGGAGAATGCCCTTAGGATCAGCATTCTACTAGAAAGGTAGGGATGTTGGGTACTGGATGGCAAAAAGAACCCCAAGTTCCTCTATGGAGAATGCCCTTAGGACAGGGGTGGGCAAACTTTTTGACTCGAGGGCCACAATGGGTTCTTAAACTGGACCGGAGGGCCGGAACAAAAGCATGGATGGAGTGTTTGTGTGAACTAATATAAATTCAAAGTAAACATCATTACATAAAAGGGTACGGTCTTTTTTTTTTTTTTTTTTTTTTTTTTAGTTTTATTCATTTCAAACGGGCCGGATCCGGCCCGCGGGGGGCCGTAGTTTGCCCACGGCTGCCTTAGGATCAGCATTCTACTAGAAAGGTAGGGATGTTGGGTACTGGATGGCAAAAAGAACCCCAAGTTCCTCTGTGGTAAGTAGAATTCCAACAGTAGGTGGCAAGGAAGGAAAGGCATGCCAGGAACAGAATAGAATCTGCAAAAGTAAGGGAGGGGGAATGTTCAGGATGGTGGAGGGAATGCAAGACAGCTTAGTGCCGTCAGACTGCGGTGCAATGCAGAAAGAGTTATATTGAAAGACAAAGGCAAATAGGTGGAGCCCAAATCACAGGCCTTATAAATGCCACAATTAAAAGCCTAGACCTTATGTTGTAGCCAAGAGCAGTCACAGAGGTCTTTCAAGAAAGGAAGCCATGCCTGGGAGAGAAGATCAGGTTGAGGCTGTGTTTCTAACCTGTTTTCTCCACAGGCTCGCATGGGTGCTGGCTGCACTGTCACAACATCCATGAAGACTATGGGAGCACTTTAAAGAAAATGAGGAAGCACAGCCAGTGGAGGTAGGAAGGAGTTCTCCCTTTGAGATCAGATTCAAGAGCATAGCTGGAGCCTGATGGCCCCGCAGAGCCAGAACTCAGAGCAGGAACTGAACTAATGAGATCGGCTTCACGGGAAGAAAAGCTTTTAAGTTGCTTCCTTTGCCACTGGATTTGCTCTCCCAATTAGTCAAATTCAAGGCAACTGGGCAACTGTCCAGGTCTCCCTGGAAATCTGGGGTAGTATCTTCCCTACACAATATCCATTTCCATTTTCTGTGGTAACAGTCCCTCAATTTTTTAAAAAAAATTTTAAGGCCTCCACACACTAAGTCCGAGAATTTTTAGAAGGGGTTGGCTACACTGGGGAAGATATGTGGTGAGATGAGGTCACTTTCCCAATGCTACTCAATTCATAGCATTTGGGAGACCTCCCACTTAATTTTTATTCAGGTCAGAAGTTACAAAATGGCGGCTCATGAATCATTGCTGTCCATGGGATTCTGTTTGGCCTGCAAAATAGTGCCATTAAAAATAAAAATCACTAATACACGGCACCAGCTGTGACCTGGTGCAATGCCACCACAGGGTCCCATCCCCGAGGCTCACCCCAGGGGGGAGCACTTAGTGCTCGAGGCCCCTCTATGTTGAGCTCCCCAGCAGCAGCAGCAGCAGGAAGTGCAGACCACGCAGGCACCCAACTGAGACAGTGTCGGCTGCAGAAAAAAAGAAAGCACTGAAATGGCAGAAGCTACCCGAAACTTCATAAATGATTTCATTCCATTGAAGAAGCTATTATTGTAGCAGTAAATGGCCCAGCCATTGGACTGGGAGCATCCCCACATATTGCCTCTCTGTAATTGGTTTGGGCCGATGAAAAGGCTTGGGCTCAAACACCCTTTATTACCTTCGGACAGAGTGCAGATGACTGTTCCACCATTACGTTTCCCAAGATTATGGGAGGAGCATCTGCATGTGAAACATGGATAGATGGCCGGGATCTGGCAGCGAAAGCAGGCCTGTTCCCCTGGGTGTCCTGGCCTGGGACCTTCACCCAAGAAGTCATGGGTCAAAAGCAGCCTGCCTTGTGTAATCCAGTTGTGCTGAGGAATCCAAAGCACCCCTGCGCTGTAACATGATGATGGAGTTGGAGCCGGCCAATGGGAGAGAGTGTGAAGTGCTAAAGAATACCTGGGGTTCCGCCCAAGGGAGGGACTCCCTGTTGAAATACTTGAGAGGAAGATGGATGAGTTTTGATTGGCAGGCTGCCTGCTGATGACCCTGGAATTATAGAGCGGGACATCTGTGGCTCCAAGGTGCTCTAATCCATTCCCAAAGCCTGAAACAAGTTCACTCCAAGGTCACACTGGATGCAGGACTTGAAATATCCAAGCTATTTATTACCAAGGAGTTTTTAAGTACTGTAACTTTCAAATAAATGACTGCAAAGCTCCTTTGTCCAAAAGTCATTATTTTATACTTAATATATACACAAGTATGAACGTACAATGGCAAGCTCTAGACAGCTCTTTGAAGCTCTCGGTTTCTGTTTATCTTTTGGCTTGTACTGTATACAAAAGGAAAGTATGTTTTGCTGGTTTGGGGTGGCAGAAAAGTCTAGAATAATGTTTGGTTTCCTTATTTTTTCCTTCTAGAACAGACTCTAAAGAGGCACCAGACAGCCTCACCTCCCCCTGCACCAAATAGTGATACCGAAAGACCTGAGATGTGCTTTTGTCTCCAAGAAGGTACAGGTACCTCAGATGAAAAATCTAAATCAAAAGTAAGACATCTTTTCGGATATTTCTGATGAAAACTCCACTGATGAACATGGCCCCAAACTAAAGTATGCTTGGGATTTATGCTGCAAAAAATCAATTGCCTTTTCCTTCCTGTTTAATGTGTCTGGTTCTTACCCAGTTAACATGAAGAAACCACTGTCTCTAGAAGAAAGCTGGTTTTGCAGAAATAGTGAAGCACTGGATAGCTTAGGTATAAATATCTAAGTTACGTTAGCCTTCATGGGATTGATTTAAATAGTGTCTCTGACCCATTTGGAAACATGACTGCAATGCTTCTTGTTGCTGGGTGAGAAATACTACTTCATATTATACAATTTTGGTTTTCTATTTGCAGATAAGATTGATGGATTACACCAAAAAATATGTTTATGTTTATAAAGTGTAATTTTTAGGTTCACTTAGGATATATTTTATTTAGTAAGTTAGAATTCTTTTGGCCCTAACTGGTTTGGCTCAGTGGATAGAGCGTGGGCCTATGGACTGAAGGGTCCCAGGTTCGATTCTGGTCAAGGGCATGTACCTTGGTTGCGGGCACATCCCCAGTAGGGGGCGTGCAGGAGGCAGCTGATCGATGTTTCTCTCTCATCAATGTTTCTAACTCTCTATCCCTCTCCCTTCCTCTGTAAAAAAACAATAAAAAATATTTAAAAAAATTATTTTGGCACACTATTAAATGCAGAAACTCCTTTTTTAAAAAAGAACTACTTATATTTGACATTTAATGTTCTTGGTATATGCTTTCATGTCGACACAACATTCTGAGTACAGTGCAGTGCCCAAGAGTGCCCTGTGTAAACAGAGGTGCGCATTGCTCTCAGGAGTGGCGGCTGGTTCCTGCATACAGATGCCTCTTATTAGTCAGGCTTCAGAGCTTGCAATCATACTGAATGTCTGTACAGTTTTGAAGTTTATACTTAGAACTGACCGCCTCCTTGCTGCAGGGAGAGCTCTACAGGGGGTAAATCTGCCTTTTCCTGGGATTGGTTGGTGCAGTATTTTTGCATCTGTGGGATCTACTTTTTCATTCAGTATGAAATGTATATAAACTATACAATCTTTAAAGTTTTTATAAAACATTCAGCTGCCAGAACTGGTTAAATAAGATTAGGATTTTTAAATAAAAAATCGTTAATATTTAAAAGTCAGGAGATTTTATCTATATTTCTGATTATCTTGAAAAAAAGTGGGAAGGTCTGTCTACACTGGATTATTCTGCTCCTGGCAATTCTAGGCTGGAATTGAGCAGCTGCCCCTTTTAGACAGGTGTGAGCACCATGATTTGCCACAGCCTCCACCCAGCTGCTCCATTCACTTAGGTCACCAGCCTGGCACCTGAAGCATATGATGCACTGGAAATATCTCAAATTCTCCAGAACACAGATTTGGCTAAACACTTGCTTGTGGTTTTGACTTGCTATTGTTGATAAAATAATTCCCTGGAGGTATGAATAGACAAGTTCAAAATCTCTGGGGGTTTCATCCTGTCACACACACACAAATAAACCCTGATTGGGTTGGAAGCAAAAGTTCAGGACATCCGGAGAAAAAGAACAGGAGACTAATGCCCCGTCCTCCTTGCCCTTATTCCATACCCAAAGAGTAGAGACCCTGGAGCCAGAGTGCCTGGGTTTGAAAGCCAGTTTCTCCAATCATTGTCAACATGCTCTTAGTCAAGTTCGCTAACTGTGCGGTGCCTATTTCCTCATCTCTACAAAGCACTATAATCCCCTCTTCTGTAAAATGTAATGAAATTCTCATCTCATAGGGCTGCTGTGAGAATTCAAAGAGTTAAAACTCTTTAGAACAGTGCCTTGCGCACAGCAAACTCCCAATGTTAATGTCTCCATTATAGATAATGTTTTTAAATATATTTATATGTAAATTGCATATAGCTATGAGGCCATATTTATAGATATATCATTTATCTTGGAAAATTATGTGTTCCACATATATTTGTTGGAAGTACATTTCTATATAGCAAAATTATGATAACTTGGACCCTATGCCCTATAGTCCATGAAATATTTGGAATGCTTTTCCCTGGGGTAGGATTACCTAATGACCATGGGTCTCGTTGGGAAAGGATGAGGGACATCATTGCCATATGTGTTTGCCATAGTGTTACAGATCCTCCCTCCTGAGGACTTAACCATCTCCCTCAGGCAATGTGCTCTGCGTTTGAAAACGGGCTCAGGCCTGGAAACTGAGCAAGGAATCAAGTTTTTATTGGAGCAGCTGCCCGTAGCCTCTTGATTGTCACTCTTGGTTTCTTTTGTTTGTAGGTAGAGCAATATTTTCCTTTGTTGCCCATACAAACAGAGGAAAAGAATTAAAGCCAGAAGTGGAGATTCCTTCATTGCAATTGAGGAAAACCCAATTATTGGCTTAGATTTTTCTATTTGAATTTTCATCATTGACTCAACTAGATCCATTTAAAGTTGTTTTCTCAAAGCTGAAAACCTCTACCGGACTTGTGCACTAGGGGGTTCAGTCTCCTGTGATTTTCACAATTTGCTTCAGGTGGGAGAGTATAATTCTGACTGGGAGGCATGTAGAAAAATCACCCCTCGGTTGGAGGATTAGCCAGAAGCATCTCTGTTTCCCCCTTTGTTATGTGCTCATCACCAGAGCAGGTGTTTTCCTGGGAATCTTGGCTGCCATCCTGGGGAGGTGAGATCACTGAACAGTGGGGGTGTGGGAGAGTTAGGTGCTGTGCGCAATAACCGCTTTGGAGAATATTCTGGATTGAGGTAGTGGGGTCAGGAAAACACCCACAGGCTAAGGTTCTCTCATGAGTGTGCTGGCAGCATCTCAAACCATCTGGGTGGTCGGACAGAGTGCTGGAAAGCCTCAGCTAGAAAAGCAGGAGGTGATGGGATAGTGTGATGCTGGGCTCCCCAGCCTCTGCTGAGGTTTGTTTTGGGGTGAGTCATCTCAATGTCTAGAACAAGCAACTACGGCCAAGTTCATCAGCTAATTGCTCGGTCCTCATCTGCATTTCATGAGCATGGACAGAAGCTTTGCTTCTCACCAGAGCTTTGTGCTCCTACCATAATCGATCAACAGGTCTGAAATCCCACAAGTGATTGTCCCTTTCTTCAAGCCATTGATTTATTTGGTTCTATCCTTCCTTCTTATGGCCCTAAATCTGTATATCATATACATTATGTATCTATATTTTATATCATGTATTACATACTTAAATATATTGATTATATAACATTAGATTATATATTTTATACATTAGAATACAAAAATATATTAAATATAAATAGTATATTATAAATATATATGTATATTTATAGTAATATACCTTCATTAAACCCTTACCATATGTTCGAGTTACTTGTCTATTTTTTTCCCATTGGACTGAACTCCCTCCAATTACAATTGGATTATATTAATCAGAATTTAATTAGTGTCTGGTCCTCAGAACTCAATAAATGTTTGTTGAATGATTGAAAGTAGTACAATGTCTGCTCATAGAAAATATTAAGCAAATGCTTGATGGATGAATGAATGAATGAATGAATGAACAAATTAATAGATGAGCATAGTCTTGGGCCCAAAGTGGATCAGTCCCATATGAACATTTTGTAGGGCCTGAGCAACAGAACAAGTTGAGACCCACTTACTAGATGTCTAAATAATTAAAGTTACAAAACAAGTTAACATACTGCTAAATACAATGTTGTCTCCTCCTACCTCAATAATACATCTTTATAACAAAAAATTCAAGAGATACATGAAGTTATATATGTATACTAGAGGCCTGGTGCACAAAAATTTGTGCACTGGGTGGGGGAGGGAGTCCCTCAGCCCAGCCTGTGCCCTCTCGCAGTCTGGGACCCCTCGGGAGATAATGACCTGCTGGCTTAGGCCCACTCCCGGGTGGCAGAGGGCAGGCCCAATCCCTAGGTGCAGCCCCTGGTCGGGCTCAGAGCAGGGCTGATTGGGGAGTTGGGGCGCCGCCCCCTGTCATGCACAGAGCAGGGCGGATCGGGAGGTTGCGATGCCACCCCTAGTCACGCTCAGGGTAGGGCCGATTGGGGGGTTGGGGCACCGCCCCCTGTCACACTCAAGGCAGGGTCGATAGGGAGGTTGCGGCGCCACCCCGTCACGCACAGAGCAGGGCCTATCAGGGGGTTGGGGCGCTGCCCCCTGTCACGCACAGAGAAGGGCCCATCAGGGGGGTTGGGGCTCCGTACCCTGTCATACACAAAGCAGGGCCGATCAGGGGTTTGAGGAGCTCCCCCCTATCACTCACAGAGCAGGGCTGATAGGGGAGTTGGGGCACTGCCCTCTATCACCCACAGAGCAGGGCGGATCAGGGGGTTGGGGCACCACCACTGTCACACTCAGGGCAGGGCCGATGGGGGGGGGGGAGTTGGGCTGCCGCACCCTGTCACACACAGAGCCGCAGGGTGATCAGGGGGTTGGGGAGCTCCGCCCTGTCACTCACAGAGCAGGGCCAATAGG